CTAAGATCACGTGAAGTCTTTATTTTTTGAAAAATTTTATTGCATTTTTGAACGAATTACAAAATTGCTATTTTGAAATTTGGCCGCATGGCGCAGCAATGAGAGGTCTTTAGACCGAGCCAATCATATAATTTTACTATATTAATATCTCGATTCTGCCGATCAATTATATATGTTACAAATGAATTCACAAGATATTATTCTTGGGATATATCTTTTTTGTTAAAAAATTAATTAATATTTTGTTATTAATACAAACCAAAAAAAAAACAAAGAAATATCTAAATGTTCCTTACTTGATTGGTGAATTAGATACCAATGTAGCAATATCGAATAATAAAGAAATCATTTCGTCATTTTCTAATCTTGGAAGATTTTCCAATATTTCCTCCAAATTTAATATGTTACCAGAATAAAATGGTATAATCTCAGCTAGATTTCCAAAATTATATTTAATTTCCTATATATAAATTTATATATTAAATTATATAAATTATATATTTATATATAATATAAATGTAATATAAATATTAACAGTTACTTGATTTTTTGAAGTAATAGTTTGATTAATCAAATATTCAATACGATCCACTTGACAATTAGTAAAATTATTGTACATGAATATTTTTAAATTTGAATCCATATTCAACTAAATATAAAAAAGATCAAATACATTAATATTAATACATCAATATAAATACACACACACATTAGCAGTATAAATATCCATGCATATCCATATCCAATCACGTACCTCTTGAATATCTTGAATAGTTAGACATTTCAATAATTGTAATTGAGTTAGTAATGGACTCATTTCAGATAAATGATCAGAATAATAAAGATAAAATCTATGCAAAATCAACAAATTATTATTATTATTATTTTCATATTAATTATAATTATAACATATATAAATAAAAACTCACAAAATAAATATTTGTTGAAAATTTGAAAAATCATTGGATTCTAGAATCTATAATAATTAATAATTAATTAATTTATAATGTATATTCAATAACAATAACAATAATAACCATACCTCAATAAATTTATTTGCTAATTGTCGATATTCAGTTGGGTAATTAATAATGTATTCAAGAAGATTTTGTAAAACGTATAATCTTTGATTGTTTCCAAAAAATAAATGTGAACATAATGATAAATAATTGATAATCATAATTATAATAAATAAATTACTTTTTGGATAATTTAATTTCTTCATCAGTATAAGGATAATTCAATTTATTTTTTGACATTCTCATAATTCCATCAATTAATCGTGAAATCTCAAGTTCTTCACATGCTAAAGTTCTCTTCAACTTATTATATTTCATGTGGTGAGAAATAAATTTTAGTAATTGATATTACCAATATTAATGTTTCTACTAATAATATTAATAATAGTGTTATTATTGCTATTGTTATAATTTATTGCTACCATATTACATCTCTCAATTATGAGTATTTTGATGGGTTTTGATTGTGTAAAATTATCAGAATCATTATTGATCAGAATATCAAGTTCTTCCTCATCCAATAACCAAGTAACTTCATCTCTAATAAATAATAATATCCAATGAAGTGTGTGAACTTGAATTATACTTTGTCCAAATATTTTTTCCATCAAGAATACAATACAAGATCTCAAAGGATCTAATCAAAATAATTAATAATTAACAATAAGTATTACATATTAATATTTATGAATATTGTATAATATATTTATTTATGATAAATATATTCATTCTTATATAGTATACTTACATTTATTATGATTATTATTGTCATGATCATCAGTTGAATCTAATTCTAATGTATTAAAGAACTTCAATATTTGAGTAAAAGCCTTTGGATTTAAACAATTTTGAAGTCTCTTTACTAATAATTGTGTCAAGAATTTGGCATTAAACTGTTTAATTTTTAAATATTTGTAAATTCTAATAATTTTAATATAAAATTATAATATTAATAATTTATTAAATTATATACAATATTTACCATGAGATCACAGTTTGGAGCAATGTTGTGTGAGAAAATATATCTCAATAGAACATCATTATAATTCTTAACCTTTTCACTTTTGCAATTATTTAGTAAATATATATGTATGAATTAGAAATAAAATTTATGCTTTATAATAAATAATATAGACACCTTGCAAATTTATAAGCAACTTCTGATAAAAGTTGACAATTATACAAGTCAAAGTTGTGGTGCTTAGGAAGTGGTGACCTTGTTTCAATATGATCAAGAAGTAAATTTACAAAATTTTCCGGCTCCATTATTTGAAAGAAAAAGAATTGGAAAAAATAGCTTGCTGATGAGATAAATATACAACATCACGCACGTGAATTAAATATCTTGCATAATATAGGACCCCGGCTATTGGGTAACGTAATGTCTGGTCTGATGGTGCTTAATAATTTGATCACCAATAAAAATTATAAAATTGCGGTTAAACTTGGTTTGAACCGCGGTTCGGACCGCAATGGTAAAACCGCTGGTCAGTGTGGTTCACTAGCCAAACTGGCGGTTTATAAACCGAACAAAACTGAACAAAACTGTTCCCATCCTTAAATACATGTAAAAAAATCAGATTTGACCTACAGCAAAATGCTTCATTTTAGTTATATAAAGTCAATTTTGATAAGATAGCATGAATCAGTGAATTTTAATTAGTGATCGGTGAGGGAAAAATGTCACGAAAACGACCTTTGCATAAAAAGTTGTACTATACTTTTGTTCCACTACATAATTTTTTTTTGTTATGTGCACATGAGAAAAACCTCAAAGATTACAGAAATATAGACAAAAGGAAGGGTTTACTATTCAAATAATAAGTGTAACATATGTAGAAATTTCAAAATTCTTATACTTTTCATATATACGAAGAAAAGAAAAATATTATGACGAATAATATCTTGTGAATTCATTTGTAACATATATAATTGATCGGCAGAATCGAGATATTAATATAGTAAAATTATATGATTGGCTCGGTCTAAAGACCTCTCATTGCTGCGCCATGCGGCCAAATTTCAAAATAGCAATTTTGTAATTCGTCCAAAAATGCAATAAAATTTTTCAAAAAATAAAGACTTCACGTGATCTTAGTTTTCTTACTGCAGTGTGTAAATTTCAGTGTGTAACTAATGCAGATTTCTACAAATTTAGAAACTATCTGCAGAAAACTGCTAATGTACGATGTTACACCCGCACATTCCGCACATTGAATTTTATACACTGTCTTACTGTCAAATTTAGATACAATAGTCAAGAGCTAGTCTAAATTTGGTAATGTTTTCCTAAATTTAGAAATGATCATAATGGACAAATTCCTCGCAAGCATAGTAAAGTGCATGTTTTAAAAAAGAATAGAACTCTACAACAAATATTTTTTTTGAGAAAATCTCTCTATTACATTAAAACTAAAGTCATATTCTATCAACTAATAGAGCTATTTTTTAAAAGGTAGGACAGAAAGTGACTTCTATACTTTTAAAATTTGCCCAAAATTTAGGAGGTCTTTAGACCAAGCCAACTATACAAAGCCATATTTTGTTATTAATAAATAAAGTATGCGTTTTTATATATCATAATTAAAATTTTTTTTTAAAAAAATTTCAAGAACATGTCTGCACCTGCTCTTATAGCTTTTTATTATGTCACTGCGATTGAAAGTTGGACGTACATTAATATAATAGAATATTACCATGCAAAAATTGAACAAAAGGATTTAAAACAAATACTAGATTGTGTGAAATCCTTGATGACTGGAAGGTATGTTCATTTAATGGGACAGGGTTTGAATGAAAATAGGATAAGTTTCATAAATCAATTAGCAAGGGTTAAAAGCTTAATCAGAACAGTGATGAACTGCTAGTTCAATGCTTAGTGCAAGCTGGGACTGCTAGTCTAACAAGTATATGTTCTTAATTCAATGCTTCTTTGTACTTTATTGTTATTGTAGAATTTTTTTTTTTAAATATTACTAATTCTGTGTTTTGTTTGCTAAGAATTTTACTACAACAAAGAATAATTTGAAAAAAGATTTGAAATATGCACATGTGAATATTCAGCACTTACAGATGGCCTCTAATCTGAAAATTCATAAGACAAAAAAAAATACTGAATTGCATTTTCATTGTTTAGGTGAGGCAACAGGTTATTGCAACTGGAGATGGCATGATACACATCATCAACAATAGTTGTACAACTTTGAGAAAACATTGCTGAGATGTAGATAATATAGAGGAAATAATGGATACCAAAAGTGCTAAAATTCTGATGATGAAAAAGGTGAGATTACAATGACTTTCAAAATTGCTTAGGTGACAAATAATAAACATGTTCTGTTGTGGATACACCAGAACAAAGTTGGAAATAAAGAAAAACTTAACAAAGAAGCAAATGATTATCCAGGCTCCTTTGCCACTACTTTTACAGTAGATTCTGTAAGTAATTCAGTATTCTTTCGAATAAGTTGGTCTTGGAGATTTTTAAGTGAAATTGAACTTTACTTTTCTGTAATGTAATATAAAAAGGATATCAATAACATAAACATTGAATGTACAGTATATAATGATGACTTGCCACTATCAAATGAAATTCAATTACCAATTGAAAATGCTAATAATGATAGACATTCAGAGGTAAAGCTTGATATAAATATTTTATGAACAAACATTTGGAACATAATAAAGTACCAAAGGGTATTCATTAAACACATTATTTCATCATCAATAGGAGCTTCTTGATGTAAATACAATTGAATCATTTCATAAATATCAGCAAAAGATAACAATTAACTTACTGTTCATTAATATATTGCACATTTTATTTATTTGCCAATTCTAGCCTGGCATATTAGACTTGACTAGAGAAAATCTTAACGACTTTGAAATAAAAGATGAAGTCATTCGAAAATTATCACAAGACTTTTCTAACAAAATTACTTGTCTAGGATAGCAGTCATATCTCAAAGAGTGAAAACTTAATGATATCCAGTGTGTTATCAGAGCTGCAGGCATGATTTTAAGTTAAAGAACAAGAACCAGTTTATGTTTGATGATTTCTCCTTATGAGAGAATAGAGTCAATATACACTCTAAAGAAAAGTTCTTGGGGTATATTTTAAATGTAAATTTCTCAACATCCTAAATTTTATGATATGTGTATGAATAATATTTATATAGTTTGGGGTATTTATTGATGCAATAATCTCAACAGGTCAACAACGGAATGATGTTAGCACAAATGAATTGGTTACCATTATTCATAAGCAAATATCATAAATAGTGTACATCTACTAATAATAGTAACAATGATTTTGATATTGCTATTGAACTATTTTATTTTGGTGCAGCACCATCAATTGTTGACATTGCAGGTCCACTAGATGACAATATTCTTTGTTATTATTGTGATGCTGATCAAACATTCAATTCATTTAACTTTTATAATTAATATGTAATCCTTTCTGAAATTTTGTTATTTAAAAAAAATATAGATTATGTAGTTTTGCAACTACTACTACTTTCTATATAACATCATATTTTATTATTATTTTATATAACATCATATTTTATTGTTATGGTTATTACTATTATTATTTTATTAGTAATATATAAATCACATATTAAATATAATAATTCAATGATTTCCTTTCTAAAAATAATTTTACAAATATTTCTCACTTATGAAATTATAATTCAATAACAATAAATTTCATAATGCATCCATCATTAAAATGCCCAACCCATTGACACTTTCCGTCTTTTTCAATTGATCTCTTACATAAATAATAAAAATAAAATAACGAGTACAGTCAAAGCTCGTTAAAATCATATTCGATAAATTCACAATTGCCTAAATTCATGGTTTTTTCAGGAACCGTGCCAGTTATATTACAATTCTATCATAAGTGATCTCGTTCTTGTATCGTGTAACCATTAAAATATTACATCTTTTGTTAAAGAAATTTTTATTATTTGTTATAATTATATTACAATAAATTCTCTATCAAAGATCTTATCTTTTATACGTAGAAAACATCTCTATTCTCATTATGAAATTAAAGAGCGACTCTCGATAATGGCATAATTTGAAAAATTTGCTGTGTCAGACCTAGGAATTTGACTAAATAATAATAATATATACATATATTACTAACAAAATAATAATCTTAATAATTAATCTTAATAATTGTCCTGATATATACAAAAAGGTTTTTATTACCACACTAAACTATGTTAATTTTTGAGATTAACGTTATTCATATATATATAAAGGTCATGTCTTCCTTGTGGCACAAAAAGAATGACTCTATTACTTTTTGTCACATTGCGACAAAAATGTCAATCCCCGACCGATTCAGTAGTTAGTATAACGCGTGGATTTTTTTGTGTTTGTTATTATTATTTAATAAAGTTGAATAAATTGTCAGCATATTAATATTGGTTGTCATAATAATAATCAATTTGATTTCCTCCGTAATAAAAATACCTAATATCAATGTTACTATTATTAGTTTCAAATGGTTCGAAATGTACAATATCTGACCATTGATCTGACATAGCCCGGATGACATTTGGATGTAGAGTAAATGTTGTCATTGTAATCGGTTCATTAGTGCTAATGTTGTCATTATTAATATCCATCATATTTGTATTAGTACTGATATTATTACCATCAATATTCATCATATTCGTATTGGTACTAGTATTATTGTTATCCACATTCATATTCATATTAGTAATAATATTATTGTCATCGTTATCTATATATTTTTGATGGTCAGTTAATTGATTAAGTTCTTGTAGTGATGACAACTTTAATAATTGATTGAATTCTTCTGAAAGAGAATGTATGGTGTCTACTTCTTGAGTTGAGCACCGAGTATTATCCTGTACCAATGATTCACCCTCTTCTGGATCAAATATACAATTATTGTAAACTTTAGCATTGATCGAAGATGAAGAAACGAATGTTGATGATAATGATGACGATGGTGACGACGACGAAGAAGACGAAGAAGACGAAGAAGACGACGATGTAGCAACGTTTTCGAGAGAAATCATTTTCCGATTTTCTTTGACAAAATTCTAGAGTAATTTTTGTTATATTCGTTTCTTCTGAATCTTTTCTTTTCACCGGAAGCCTCGTGTGAAAACTCTATTATAATAATAATAATAATAATAATAATAATAATAATAATAAGGAAGTTTTCATCCGGAAAAATTTCCCTCAGATATTGTGAAAATAAATCAGAGTGTAAATTGACAAAATAATTGTTATTAGATAACAAAATTTTCTAAAGGTTATATTTATTATGGAGTTGAAAAGGAAGATAATTTTTGAAGGTTGTAATATATAAAGAATTTAAAATTTAAAATTTAAAATTTTTTTTTATTATTCAATATTACTTTGAGAAAAGAATATTTACTATATAGAAAAAAAGTAATCTTTTTTTTTTCTTTTATTTATAACTAACGCTAGAGGTAGTACAGCAATTTTTTAATAAATAAAGAAAAAAGTAATGAAATTGAAAATAAAGAAGATATTAATTTATTTGTTTGCACTTTATACTTTTTAATTCAATTGATGTGATTTGTAATTATTTTTATTTGCTTTTTTCAATTTCAAGGAATTCTCTAGGATAAATCTAATTTTAACGATCTCCAAATTCGAACAAACCGGAGTTTTATTAAGAGATGCATATATACAAATAACTTTCAGTTTCTTTTTAGTCACAAATTAAAATAATAATGACGAAATTTATTTTGGTCCCGGTTTGAATTCGTAAACCGGTTTGGGAAATGGGATAATGCAAACCGGTTTGAACCGGTTTGTATGAGCCACACGCCTGCATCAACTATTGGGGTGTATTAGAAGTATAATTGACAAACCTGGGAAAATCAAATAATAAACCTAATGGTGGTGAATGTTGAATATGCGACTGAGACATAACAGAGCCATATTTATCAACGTTCATATTTAAAATGAAATTTTCGTCATAACTTCTAGGTGAAAGGTCTTTAGGAATTAAAAACACTTTAAATTTTTTTTTTTCTAGCTATTCTGCTTCCAAAGTTATAAACTTTTTAAGATTTAGATTGTTAAAATCAATTTATTTATTTAATTAAAGAAAATCGTTTTTGCATACAGATGAGATTTTTTAATTCTAAAAATGTTACATTTCTCTGTAACATAACAGAGTCACATTTATCAACAGATACTTTCCATATTGAAATGCGATTTTCATCATAAATTCTAAATAACTAACAATAAATCATATTAAAAAAAGGCGTTGTTATGTTATATACCAAGTTCCTAGAAATTAAGATCATTTTCAAAAAATTTCCCAATTATTTTGCTTCCAAAGTTATATAAATGTTTTAAGTTTCCGTTTGTTAAAATTAATTAAAGAAAAATCGCTTTTAATAAACTATTATCATCATACATATGAAACTTTTACCCATCAAATATATGGATCATCCGAGTACACGTTTAAAGTATTAGTTAGGTAAATATTAAAAAAAAAAATTTTTAAACTATGCATATATATTAAAAGACTTTTTATCGTAATATAAATATTGTTATTAAAGGAAGCTGTGCTATCATAATCGATCGTTAAATCATATATTTTGTGCGCGGATTCCAAAGAAAACCGGTTTCGGAGTCCTCTGATCATTACGCCACTTCGTGATATCATGATACAATAATTACAGGTTCTCAACTAACATATAAGGCTTGAAATATTACGTGTAACATATGTCGTCATTCAAAAAATTTGTTTTTCTCGGCCGATTTTTTCCACAGAACTCTTGGTGTTTATTTTTGATCCAAATGAAATAAATAAATAAATAAATTTTATTAACTAATAAAGAATACAGTGAATAAAAATTTACATTTTAAAAACCCAGCAGTTAAAAGATTTTATTAATAATAATTTTTAGTAATGATTTAATTGAAATTATATTTACTGCATTACCCATCCCGCCTTAGCTCCAAAACCCAAGCATTAATTTATTTTTGCATTTGCACTTTTGCGTGAATTTACACATCATACATCGTCGACAAACTTGTTCTATTATTATCCTTTTGCATTTTGCTGCAATCTTTTGTCGTGCATGATTTATTTATAGGGATGGGGACGATTTATGACACGTCCGGCGACGAATAATATTTTTATAATTGATTCGTGACGATTAATATACTAAATTGCAGGTGACATTTGTATTGCCAAAACAAGACAAATTAATTGTCACTTATAATTTAGTATATTAATCGTCACGGATCAATTATAAAAATATTATTCGTCGCCTAAAGTGACATAAACCGTCCCTATCCCTATTTATTTAAGGGTTCATGGATAAGGTTTTAGTTAATATCGTTGTACAAAATGTATGCAAAGCTTCATTTAAAATCTTTTCTAGTTTTTTAATTTAGTCATTTAAAAAATTTTTGTTATACAGGCATTTTTTTTTTAAATTTTTGGTCTTTTTTATATCTAAAAAAAAAATCTAAATATATCACCACCTAATCGTTTCATCATTATCGCCTCTCACATTTCCATCATCATCATCAATTATAATATCCATATTATCATTGTTGGTACTTTTTTGCATTTAATTTGTAATTAAAAGAAAAGGCAGACCAACTCCTTTTAAAAGCAAGCTGATGAAACAGAAGCCGAAATTATCAATTCTATCTAGTTTAACAAAATGAGGCCAAATTTTTGATTTTGTAATAATATATAATCAATAACAACTTGGTAAAAATTAAAAATTGCTTTTTCTTTTTTGAATAGAATTATGTATGTGACATTGCATTATTTGAAAAATACTGCGGGTCGCATTTTTTTTTCATGCGCAAGTCATAATGATGTTATTATAATTCATTGATATACAACAGGAAAGTAATGATTGAATAATTATGATAATAGATAGAAATAATAATGATATATATATAAAGTAATGAAGATATGAAATAAGGATGATAGATATATGAAATAATGTTGACAGATGTATTGTTGTTATAATAATAAACATATTGTAACAATTGAGAAATATAAGTGCGTCCAGATTAAGCATGTTAATTAAATTACGTAAATTTCCTACTTTAGCAATTATTATTATGATTTCCAGATCATGATCGTCGGCCGTTATATAAAACATAATATATGTGAAGACAGGCTGTTATACACTATTACTATATGAAATTTAATCAAGAAGACCAGAGTAGGGTTTATATTAATATAGAAAAAAATTGGGATCCAATTCTCAGTTCGTTATATGGTTGGCTCGGTCTAAAGACCTCCTATTGCTGCGCCGTGCGGCCAAATTTCAAAATAGCAATTTTGTAATTCGTTCAAAAATAGGACTTTGCGTGATTTTAGTTTTCTTACTGTCAAATTTAGATATGATAGTCAAGAGCTAGTCTAAATTTGCTAATATTTTTCCTAAATTTATAAATGATCATAGTGGACAAATTCCTCGTGAGAATAGTAAAGTACATGTTTTAAAAAAGAATAGAACTCTACAACAAATAATTTTTTTGAGAAAATCTCTCTGTTACATTAAAACTAAAGACATATTCTATCAACTAATAGAGCTATTTTTTAAAAGGTAGGACAGAAAGTGACTTCTATACTTTTAAATGTACTGTATATTAATATATAAGTAAATTTTGTGTAACAAATTTTTTAATAATAATAATAATAATAATAATAATAAATAATAACTCAAAATTTGAGAAAATTCAATATTAACGCATATACATGCATTGAAAGGCTAATTCCCAAAAATTGTTTACCATTATAATAAACATTATTTAATTATACATTATCCACGTTTCTGCAAATTCGGACTGATTTTAAGGTGCATATATATATGTATATATATATACACAGTTTTTAATTTGTTGGACTGACTAACTTTGTGACCAAATTGGCAAATGGACTATTTAACACATAGAAGATCTTGATGGGCTTTGTTCACATATGATATCAAACTTATAAAGATTTAATGACCTTATAGTAAAGTTAGATATTATGAATAGAAATGCACAGGCATATAGGTTTATTATTGATATTTTTTTTTCCATTTTAGAACCAATTCAATTCTGATGTTGAAGAGAACAATTAAAAAATATTATTATCACATAATCATTGATTTAATCCATGAATATCATGTTTATTTGCCATGCAACGACATTTGGTTTGTTTATATTAAATGACAAATTAATCCGTAATTACGATTGGTGCGTTGATTTATTACGCCTTACTGCCAATAAAATTTATTTGTGTTTGAATAATGATCTCATTATTATTATATATAAAAATCTGGAGTTTAAAATAGTTTAATTCACTTTTGATACACAAAGAAAGTTTAATATTAACATTTTAGTTTTTTTTTTTTTTTTTCAATAAGATAATATTTGGTTTGTTTCAATTATTAAAAGAAAAAAATTTTTTTTATTGTCCTATTTAATTATAAGAAAACTGTTAAAAAATTTAGTTAAAAAATATTTAAAAAAGTAAATTAGGCATATAAGCGTGAGAGAGTATTAGTTAGTATATTTAAAAAAGAACAGACATCTCGGCTAAATATTTTCCCGAAATACCTTTATTAAATAATTCTTTAATGTATTGATTTAATATATCCACGGCTTCTAAATCACTCAAAACAATCTTTTGAAATAATAATTTAATTATCGTAAGCCAGGTATCTTTAATTAAACTAGGTGAGGCAATAAGCCATTATACATGATTTTTTGGTGAAAATTTGTCAAGATTTTTCTTGTCTTCCATAATTTGGTTCCGAGAGTATCGTTTACTAATATGAATATTGTATTTGAATTCAACCTAATGATCTATAGATCATTGTCCTTATAGTTTTCATAAAATCTTCTTTAAAAGTTGGTCGATTCACTTTTACCGGTAATTAAATTGACCAACAATAAGAACGAAAGTGGATTTTATTTCTTATATATTGACTTGTTCAAGGGTTAAATTTGATACGACAAATATTTGTAAAACTTTAGTTGAGGGTCCAAAAAAAATTATAAACAACTATTTTGGAATAGTCATAGAGATTTGTTGCAAGGTTATTTTGAATAACAGTGGACTGCACCATGTATACAAATAACAATTTTAATTGCCTTATATAGTCGATTCATTTATTATGTAACAATTATTAGTTTATTATTAAAGTTATGACGATCAAACACCACCCTTAATATGCAGCATTACAAAATAGACAACACGCGTGAAATGAACAACAAATATTGAGGGTCAATTGCATATTGGATAATAAACAATCTCAGCCCATCGTGACTTTTAAGTTTTTTATTAGTTGTCGTGGATGTAACACAATTGACTAATTAAGATCGCGTGAAAATAAACAATTACAAAAAATTAAATAATTAATTACCGATATAAAACCTTTTTTTGAAAAAACAAAATAGTAGATCAACATTCTAAAGAGTAAGTTAATTAAATAACCAGCTCAGCCCAACATGTCCTTTATTTAATTTTAGTTGTTGTGTGGTTGTAAAACCATCGGCTGAATATGAAAATCACGCGTGAATTAATTATTATAATAGATTTGACTAATTTAACATAACTGATTGATTGAATTAAATAATTAGTGACCGATTTATGATTTTTTTTTTTTTTTAAAGATAGTAGAACAAAATTCAAATAAGAAGTTCTTTATCTCATTAATTATCAGCCCATCACAATGGATATTTTTAATTAGTCGAAATATAACGTGGGAATATAAGTATTTCTTTATAAATACACCTCTTAAATTTTTTGTTGTCAAGCTGAAAATAACTTTTAATAACAACTATTAAACAATTATTTTATCGATTTATTTCTAATCAATAAAAAAATATGTGTTCAAATATAAAATTGCTGGTTGAAAGATTGAATTTATCAGAAGAGCAAAAAAAATTACTCGAAAATCCACCAGACATCGTAAAGATGACAATAGACGATTTGGTTTCTTTTTCTAATAAACCAAAAAAAAACCCACAAAGAATACAAAATGTGTGGATAATATTCCTAAAGAACTTTGGTGAATATTTGAGAAAAAAGTATCCGGATGAAACGTTCTCTATGATAAAGATTTCGCGTAGTGCTGCCGGCGTATGGAATAATTTAGAAGACACGAATTCAACGAAAATTTATTTTAGAATTTTGGCAAAAATCGCTAAAGAAAATTGGAAAGTAATTGATAATAACGAAATCGTTGTTGCCACATCTCCATCACCTTTTCTTTTAGAAAGTTTTTCTTCGACCAGTTCTGAAGCTGATTTATTTGTTCCAATAGAAAATGAACCATTGATAAATAATGGAAATGACATTAGCACAAATGAATTGGTTGCCATTATTCCACAAGCAAATCTCATAGATAGTGTACATTTCGAACCATCTAATAATAATAGTAACAATAATTTTGATATTGCTACTGAACTGTTTTATTGTGGTGCAGCATCATTCATTGCTCCGGACGTTGACATTGCAGGTCCACTAGATGATGATATTCATAGTTATTATTGTGATACTGATCAAACATTCAATTCATTTAATTTTTATGATTAATAATCCTTTTGAAATTTTATAATTTATTAAAGAAAAAATATAGATTGTGTAGTTTTACTACTAATAATAATATTATTATTATGTTTATTATTACTATTATTACTGTCATTATTATTATGTTTATTAATATTATTATGGTTGTTATGGTTAATATGTTTATTATTATTATTATGGTTGTTATGGTTAATATGATTAATATTATCATTAAGATATTTATGATATTATTATTATTATATGGTTATTATTCTATATTTTATTGTTACTTTATATATCATGTTTTATTATTATGATTATAATTTTATTAGTATTAACATCACATATTAAATATAATAAATTCTTTTTTACAAATATTATTAACAAGAAATTTTATCTCCAAATTTTTTTTTGTATTAATTTTACTACTAATGCAGTTATTGTAACTTGTTAATATTAATAGTAAATGTCTACCTCACCTGTCTGTGGTTACTGTACAATTACAATTCAATTCGGAAATGTATTCATCACTACGTAAAATGCCCAATCACACCCAACCCATTGACGCTTCCCATTCTTTTCAAGATCTCTCGCATAAATGATCATAATAAAATAATATTATAGTTGAATTCATATTCGATGAATTCACGATCGCTTAAATTCATAGTTTTTTCAAGAACCAATGCCAGTTATAGTAAAATTCTATTCAATATTAAAAATCTGGCACGTCTTGTGTAACAAATATATTGCTATTACATAATAAGGGTATATGCAGGTAATAAATAGAGTTAGATTGAGTACAGCAAGTACAATTACGGATCTCATACACCCAACCAAAAAAAGCATACAAGTACAACAAAAAAATGGCTAAAAATGGGTTGTACTATATATACTCACTGATGTACTCAACCTAATGCTACCAAAATTTTCATTCGCAATTATTCAAATTCTATACAATATGAAGCAATCAACTATGGGTGATTTTGTTACAAATGAATAATGATTTTGTTTTATTATTTATTATTATTTGTCATAACTATACATATATTTACAATAAAATTTTTTTATCTTTATATTCTCATTATATCATAAAATTAAAGAGTGACGATAATGGCATGATTTGATAAATTCATAAAATTTGCTACTACTACGAGTAATATAATAAAATATGACGTCATATTAGTCTTAATTGCTTATTATCACACTAAACTATATTAATTTATATATTAATATTAATATATATATTTCATTATCCTTGTTCCACAAAATGACTACTAAAATGTAGATCCCTTCCCGATTCAATAGTAGTAATAAATGCAACCCAACCAAAAAAAGCATACAAGTACAACAAAAAAATGGCTAAAAATGGGTTGTACTATATATACTCACTGATGTACTCAACCTAATGCTACCAAAATTTTCATTCGCAATTATTCAAATTCTATACAATATGAAGCAATCAACTATGGGTGATTTTGTTACAAATGAATAATGATTTTGTTTTATTATTTATTATTATTTGTCATAACTATACATATATTTACAATAAAATTTTTTTATCTTTATATTCTCATTATATCATAAAATTAAAGAGTGACGATAATGGCATGATTTGATAAATTCATAAAATTTGCTACTACTACGAGTAATATAATAAAATATGACGTCATATTAGTCTTAATTGCTTATTATCACACTAAACTATATTAATTTATATATTAATATTAATATATATATTTCATTATCCTTGTTCCACAAAATGACTACTAAAATGTAGATCCCTTCCCGATTCAATAGTAGTAATAAATGCATGGACTTTTTTTTTGTGTTTGTTATTATTATTTAATAAAAATTGAAGGAATTGTCATCGCATTGGTTGTCATGACCCATTTTCTTTTTTCCGAAATAAAAATGACTAATATCAATGTTGATATTATTAGTTTCAGATGGTTCGAAATGTACACTATCTGAACATTGATCCATTATATCTCGGATGACATTTGGATGTAGAGCGAATGTTGCCATTGTACTACTATTATTATCATGAACCAACGACTCGCTCTCTACTGTATCAAATACGCCATCATTGCAAACTTCGGCGTTGGTTGAAACGAAAGTTGATGATGACGATGACGATGACGATGACGATGATGATGATGATGACGACGACGATGAAGATGACGACGGAGATAGTAATAGTGGTGATAATGACGATGTAGTAACGATTTCGGGAGAAATCATTTTGCAATTTTCTTTGCCTGTTATATTCATTCTTCTAAATCTTTCCATTCACTCGCAGTCTCGCGTGAAATCTCTATTATTATAATAAGGAACGTTTGTTTCCCTCAGATATTGTAAAAATAAATCAGAGAATAAATCGACAAAATAATTGTAATTGGATTAGTGATTATTAAATTTTCTGAGATTATTTA